GTAAAACCTGTTCAGTTAAAGTAACGATACTAATAGTTCATGTATTAATTTATTCTAATTATATCATTCAACCAAGTAAAATCATCATAAACAATCACTTTCACAATCTAGTTCAATATCATAAAATATTCATCATCACCATAAAATTTAATCAAAGGTATTATAAACTTGTACTATCATCCTTTATCTTAAGTAGATTTTTCCAAAGCTAATACTCCACAGCTTAATGCCTAGTGCAAAACATCCAAACAAAACAAAAATTTAGTATATAAGGTAGATTAAGCTAAGAAATTCATTTCTCTCAATTATCTATACTAAGATGTGAAGAGTGATTTTATAGAATAATTAGAAACTTATTTTGTTTCGAAATCTATTGGTTAAAAAAGTAAAATCGTTTATATAATTACTGTTTCGGTTAAATTGGTCTGAGGGTCGGTCGTCCTTTCTTGTTCTGCTCTTTTTTTATCTTCAATCCTTTCCGAGAATGCAATCCATTTTGATGAGTTGTTGACCTGCAGAAGACACTCTGACGCTCCAGTCAGATACGTTTCATAAAGAGAGGTCACTATTTTATTATGATAGAATAAGATCATTGTACCTGGACATCAATTTATAAGACTTGTGACAGCCAAATCCATTGATTAACCATTAGTGCAATATACTTTTAGGCAATCAAACCCAATAATATTGTATATTTGTAAAGCGTAAGGCAATCTTACCTATTAATATCTGTTAATTGTCCATAAATGACAATTAATTCCGATCGGTATATTTCATATAGTACATAAGCCCCCCAAGCCCAAGCAAGCTCTTTATTAAAAGATGTGTGTAGGGATTATTATGAACTTTAAAAGAGGTTGCTGACGTTGTATTTAGGGAATCTATTTTCGATGCGCTTTAAGTCTTCATTCCTTTTTGTACCAAACGACATATTGTGCAAGAAATTTTCACTCCAAAAATTATGCGTTAAACAAAATAAAGTAAACACTTCAATATCTATTTTTATAATGAGAAGGCATTGGAACCTGATAAAGCTGAACGTAGGTGGTCCGAACGGGAAAGGACTGGACTTGTTGAGTAGTTGGCTGATAGGAGTTCTTTTTTGAACTTTTTTCTTTAGGCCAAGCGGTAGGGATTCCCTTTTGAGCTTAAGAGCCCGAGAACCTTTTCATACGTTGAGCGACGAGCAGTAGGGATTCCCTTTTGAGCTTAAGAGTTCGAGAACCTTTTCCTACGCTGAGCGACGAGCGGTAGGGATTCCCTTTTGAGCTTAAGAGCCCGAGAACCTTTTCCTATGTTGAGCGACGAGCGATAGGGACTCCCTTTTGAGCATAATAGCCCGATAGCCTTTTCCTACGTTGGGCAATGATCGGTGTGGACTCCCTTTTGAGCTTAATAACTCGAGAGCTTTTTCCCACGTTGAGCAATTAACGGTAGGGACTCCCTTTTGAGCATAATAGCCCGAGAGCCTTTTCCTATGTTGGGAAATGATCGGTGGGGACTCCCTTTTGAGCTTAATAGCCCGAGAGCCTTTTCCCACGTTGAGCAACAAACGCTAGGGACTCCCTTTTGAGCATAATAGCCTGAGAGCCTTTTCATACTTTGGGCAATGATCGGTGGGGACTCCCTTTTGAGCTTAATAGCCCGAGAGCCTTTTCCCACATTGAGCGGCGAATGGTAGGGATTCCCTTTTGAGCTTAAGAGCCCGAGAACCTTTTCCTACATTGATAGGAGTTCTTTGTCCAAAACTTTTTCTCTGATCCGAGCGACGACTGATAGGAGTTCTTTTTCTAGAACTTTTTCCTAGGCCGAGCGGCAAACGATAGGAGTTCCTTTTAGAACTTTTTCCTGCGCAGGATATTTTTACTCACAAAAATATGCGTTAAATAAAATATTTAATATTTTATTTTTATAATGAGAAATCATTAGAACGTGACAAAGTTGAACGTTGATGGTCCAACTGACCAAGCGGTAAGGTATTGAACCTTCATGTGCAGGATATTTTTACTCACAAAAATATGCGTTAAATAAAATATTCAATATTTTATTTTTATAATGAGATGGCATTAGAACCTGATAAGGTTGAACATTGGTCTGAACCTTCCTGTGCAGCACATTTTTACTCACAAAAATATGTGTTAAATAAAATATTCAATAATGAGATGACATTAGAACCTGATAAGGTTGAACGTTGGTCTGATTCTTCCTGTGCAGGATAATTTTTACTCACAAAAATATGCGTTAAACAAAATATTCAATTATGAGATGACATTAGAACTTGATAAGGTTGAATGTTGGTATGAACCTTCCTGGATATTTTTACTCACACAAATATGCGTTAAATAAAATATTTAATAATGAGATGACATTAGAACCAGATAAGATTGAACGTTGTTTGAACGTTGGTCTGAACCTTTCTGTGCAGGATATTTTTACTCATAAAAATATGCGTTAAATAAAATATTCAATATTTTATTTTTATAATGAGATGGCATTAGAATCTGGTAAGATTGAACGTTGGTATGAACTTTCCTGTAAAGGATATTTTTACTCCCAAAAATATGAGTTAAACAAAATAAAATAAATGCTTCAATATATTATAATTTATAAATTATAATAAAAAGTAGAACCTGACAATGTTGAATGTAATACTGAACCTTCCTGTAAAGGATATTTTTACTCACAAAAATATGAGTTAAACAAAATAAAAATTATAATTTATAAATTATAATAAAAAGTATTGGAACCTGACAAGGTTGGATGTAGGGCTGAACGTTCTCAAAACAAAAGACATGCCTTTAGAAATTATTATGGAATTTTGTACTCTTGTTGCAAAACCTGGTATTGATCCGAAGTAGCAATTTCGAGGCCGAGTTCATGTCTACATGTCTGGTTCCTCGTGGTTTCATGGGGATGTCGCTCGGCCCCACGGTGGGCGCCAAAATGTTTCGGTTAAATTGGTCTGAGGGTCGGTCGTCCTTCCTTGTTCTACTCTCTTTTGATCTTCAATCCTCTCCGAGAATGCAATCCACTTTGATGAGTTGTTGACCTGTAGAAGACACTCCGACGCTCTAGTCAGATATGTTTCATAAAGAGAGGTCACTATTTTATTATGATAGAATAAGATCATTGTACCTGGAAATCAATTATATATTTATAGGACTTGTGACAGCCAAGTCCATTGATTAAACATTAGTGTAATATATTTTTAGGCAATCAAACTCAATAATACCGTATATTTGTAAAGCGTAAGGCAATCTGACCTATTAATACCTGTTAATTGTCCATAAATGACAATTAATTCCGATCGGTATATTTCATATAGTACAATTACCAACAAAAAATAATTTGTTAAGTATCTAAAATGACAATTATATAAGTTTGTTAGTTTTATAACAATCTTAATTAATTATTTTTAAGTGTGTTGTTAAGTAACAAACTTAAATCGGCTTAAGTTTTAACATGACAATTTTTCGATAGATTTAAACTAATGTTTTAAAATCGGTTAATTTTCCAACATATTTACTTAAATTAATGTTTTAACTTTTATAATTTTCACATTTACAACATTTTAAGCACATATTTGCATAGTTCTTTTCCACGCACAACATATTACAAGTCTCATCTACTCCAGAGACGACGTTCACTTCTGACGGTAGGGTGAAATGAATTAAAGTATATTTAGCATACATTGAAATTTAGAATAAAACTATTTTCTTTATATTGTGTTTTAACTTTTTTTTATGCTTAGATGAGTGCTTATCAAAGACCAAACCTTCCTCCTTCCTCCTTTGTTGCATCTCACATTTGGAAACCCTACACCTCCATTTCTCCTCCATTTCTCCTCCCTTCCTCCTCTTTGCCGCATCTCACATTTGGAAGCCTCAACTTTTTCTTTCTCCTCTATGGCACTTCTCCCCTCCTCCCCTCCTCCCCCTCCTCCCTCCTTTTTCACCATTTCTTTTTAACGTATTGTTGTTGCAGAGTGCTCCTTCCTTCCCCCCTCCACCCTAGTTTGGTGACTGTGTGGTGTTGGTGTTCGTGGTGAGCTGTAGCAGAGTTATCTTCTTCTCACACATTTCACATACATCAAGCTTTTTCTGACATCCAGGTTGGTTCTTTTGATTTCCTTAAAGCTATAATAAAATATATAATGCATATGGATGGTTGTGTGAAAAAAATGCTTGATCTGTTGTTGTATGATAGAGTATATGATGCATTTGTTCTTGATTTGTGCTTGATTTGGGATTATGCATGGTTTTGTGCTTGATTTGTGCAATGGTGAAACTGTAAGGGACGAGTTGGTGGCCTTAACCGCACTTGAAAGTGCGGATAAGGCCCGCTGCACTTGGAAGTGCGGATGAGGGTGATGTCGCAGTTGGATATGCAGCTGTTGCGAGCCGCACTTGGATTTGCGGTTGGTGTTCGCCGCACTTGGAGTTTCGATTGGTGACTCCATAGTTGGAATTGCGGTTTAGGGTTATCTTTATTGGTTTATTTTTGTTAACAATTTATATCTCTTTTTTTAATATTTTATATTAATATATTATGTAATTTTAATTTTTATGTCATGTTTTATTGTTAAATAAAATTTAATATGTTTTTGGAGTATATTTTGATTTTTTTATTTGTTTGTTAATTTTTTCTTAATTTGTTGTTTTTTTTTAATTTTAATTTTTTTATATATTATTTATTATGTATAGTATTTTATTTTATTTTTTATTGTTTTTGAATTTGTAACTTTTATTAAATTATTTATTTAACTAAATAATTATTATTATGCCTAAATTTTTTTTCTTACTTATTATTTTTTTTAATTTATTTTATAATTTTTAGTGTTTTTGTTCTAATTTGTAATTATTTAAGTAATTTTTTTCTTTATTATTTTATTATTAATTTCTTATTTTTTGATTATTTATTATTTGTTTCAATATTTATTATTATACAACTATTTATTTTTTTTGTATATAATTGATTAATAATATAATTGGTTAATAGAAATGGCTAGAACTAAAGGTGCATCATCTTATTGTGGTGAGGCTTCATCTTCTAGTGGTGAGCCTTCATCTTCTAGTGATGAAAGGAGGCGACTTACGACATCTGCTCGTAGAAGACATGTAGAAGAATATCGCGTGGACGTCATTGATGAGCATGATCATGAGGAGCAAGAGGAGTTTATACACCATGAACATGGTGAGGATGATTATGTTGAGCACGAGGATGTTCAGCAGCAAGATAACTCTAGTGAGGAAGAACATGAAGATGAAGATGAAGATGGTGGATTCCCAGGAGGTCCACATGACACCTCCTTACTTACCCAACACGTTGCATTTGTCATATGGCAAGGCTAGGTTATTCGTCAACCTAAATATTAATTGTTCATTAATTGTTAATTTATTTTTGTTATATAATTTTGTGTTTTTATGTAAATCAAAGGGGGATCAAGGTGATCTCCCATGGGAAAAAGCTGAAGCATTTTGGAATGTACCATGAGGTTATTGAGCCTTATATCTCCATGTTGGGGTTGTGTTCCTTAGTGAACCTATCATACGAGTATGTTGATCACAGATTGATCGTTGCCCTTTCGGAGAAAAATATTTTCCACCTCTCGATAGGTGAGATGAGCGTCACATTAGATGACGTTCTCAATCAGCTCCACCTACCCATCATGGATCAATTTTGTGAGGTCGAGGAGTTAGAGTATGATGAGAAACAGTCACACGGTCCAAAAGTTAGGTTGAGCTGGCTCCACAAGGTCTACCAGGAGTGCATTGAGCAGGAGCGTTCGGAGTGCGCTGCTCGGGCCTACTTGTTGCATCTACTTGGATGCACAATTTTTTACAAATAAGAGTTTCACTCTAATTTGAGTCTCGTACCTCCTTCTCTTGCGAGACTTGAGTGCTTGTTCGAGATATGCTTGGGGAGCGGTGACATTGACACATACTTATGAACAATTAGGAGATGCTAGCTTCACTAAGGTTAGGCAGATAGTTGGATATTCCATTCTTCTGTAGGTACATTACCATCTTGTAAGTTTATATATGAGCACCTTCCTGACATAGGAAAGATGCAAGTGTCAGAGAGGTACACAGACCTCGATCCACAGGCTTCACAATATATACCTCTGAGGGTGGGTTGGAGTTTAACGGAGGGGTGGACATATCTAGATGCCCTTACTTATGATACGGTCATCTAGCATCCATACATTTCACATAGACGTACTTGCCCATTCATGGTCATATCTATGTTTTTGGGATGGATTCGACTAGGTGACATGATTCATCGACATCTGCCTAAACTTGTGTTGCATCAGTTCGGTTTTTAGCAGATCATACCATGATCGCCTGAGAGTCTTTCGGTGCCAAACATTCCTATGATTGATTGGTTATGATATGTAGAGCATGCCATTACTAGTGTCGTTGAAGCTCATGAGTCGTACGCATGTGTTGATAGATACCTAGCGTGGTTTAGACGGTTGTCCCACCCGTACATCACTCTAGTCGACGATGATGACTAACCCAGTCTTGCACCGCACATGAGGCGAGACCTTCTGGATGACATCCAGGTGCCCCCAGTTCATCGTAGACGGTCGCCTGAGCACGGATTATTGGTATGTAATGAAACTAACTCTTATGGTTTTTTATGAATTTTTGTTATTGGTTACATAATAAGTTTTTTTTATTATATTAATTTCAGAGGGGTATGAGGCGTGTGATCAGAATGCTGTAGGGCATGTTAACCTGTCGAGACATCATAGAGGGCAATATATCTTATCAGCGTACTACTGAGACACTACAGGTAGTTTGTAGGTTCGTTGAGGAGTTTGAGGCTATTGCTAGTAGAGGTGGTCGTCATGTGCGTGGAAGAGCATCATTTTCTTGAAAGGACATTGTTATATATGTTTACTTTTTTAATGGTATTTATACTTTAAGTATTTATAATGCATAATTATGTATGGTTTTAATACTTTGACTAATTATAATTTATTTAACGCGTTAATATGAATCGCCTTCGTTGAATCAAATTATATAACGAAAAGTATTTACAATTGAAAAAATAAATTACTACACAACAAACTTAATTTCAATCTTCTCCAAGATCTATATAAGTCGAATTAACTCCCATAAATGATTGCATCCTATGTGTATAAAATGAAGATCTCTCGAAGAGCTCTCTGTCACCATGTTCTTCCTCCTCCAATATCCACAGCACCACCACCACGGAGCACAACCATCACATTGTATAACCTCTCGACTCTCAACTCAAAAAACAATAAAGCAGTAAAAGTGAAAAAAATGCTACTATGATGCAAGTAAAAAAAGTGGAAGGGGGAAGGAGGTGTATGCATGGTAGTATTTATACAATCACGAGAAAAGTTGGTCGTTAGGAAGATTGTTAATAGCTACGAAATTATTAAGTCATTATTAATTTTCTTTTGACTTTAATAAATAAAGATAAATATGTAAAATCGGGGGTATAATTAATAACTGAATAATTAATAGTTAAAAGTATAATAACTAACAATAATTTGTGATATTAATTAGGATAACTTAGTTACCTTTCTTAATAAATATACCTACGTTACTTTGTTTTGATAAATATAATAGTGTAGTGCCAGTCAAATAATAAAATTGTATTTTTTACGGTAAATAAGATATCATAGAAATTGATTATAAATTGTTAAATTTGTGGCGTGTACGTTTTATTTTGTTTGGGTTACCTTTTTCAGACAAAGCGTCCAAAATGTTGCGTCACCCTCTTTTAATTAATTTTGTCGACATGCTTTATTTTATTTTTATTTGAATACTCCAACAATGATGCTGCATTTTGTGGGAGAGAAATTATTCAAATTCTGACATAACTTGTTGCATTAGAAAAAGTGAAGCGCATTTGAATCTAACGTCAACGTTTGGTCACATCCCGTTTTGTGGTGGCAACGAACATGGATTCGGATCAATTCACCACTTGCCCCTTATGCGATTCATGTCTACCCATATCTCAACTCACTGGGTATGTCTCTGTTCTGTGTATAATGCACATTCACATTCATTCGTTTCCTTTTGTTCGCCATTTGAATATGATTCTGCAAAAGCAGGCACGTCAATTTTCATTTTTGGGAACTCCAGCATGATTTTGACCTGCCCACAATAATTCAACGCTCTCCCAATGTTGATTCATCCCCTCAATCTCTTCCGGTAACACCTCCTTTGTTGCTGCTTTTAAGAGGTTTTCTTTGTCAGTGATTTTGAATGTAAATGTTTTTCAGGTGGGCTTAATTTTGATTTGTTGAATATGAGCACTAGCTATTTTCTATGCAACAATCTCCGTTGAGGAAAATATCAATGGTTATATTAAATTATTAGATACGTTATTATTTTTGAACTTAATCTATATTTTTTCTTTTATAATTACCCATTTATATGTATACTGAATAGTCCATGTGTTAATTTATATTTTTTCTATTATAATTACTCATTTATATGTATACTGAATAGTTCATGTGGGGTTGGTGGGAGGAAAATAGAGATAGAAGAAAAAAGAAGAGGTAGACAGAGAAAGTGGTACAAATAAGAGTAAATGAGGTAGAATGAGATCGAAGAGACATGTATAAGCTATTCAATATGTTCTGTACATTATCTTATGTCATGTTTTGCAGAGAGAGCAAGCAAGCACTGTTTCACTGTCTGGAGCAAAGTATTCGCGTGGTGGTGAGACTAGTAGCGAGAACGGGGAGTGCAAAGTGAATGACAGAATCTCTTGCTTGATTGTTTCTCAGACAAGGTGTGAATTTCACAAAGTTGAAGCGGGTTTGATGACATTGTTCAAAAATTGTTTAGAGTCTGAAATTGGAAATTCAATTAGCATTTTGTCGGGTTATGTTGATCATTTCCAGTGCCTTGAATCTGAGGATGCCGGATGGGGTTGTGGGTGGCGTAACATTCAAATGCTTAGTTCTCACTTGCTAGTGCAAAGACCTGAAGCAAGGAAAGCTTTGTTTGGTGGTTCGGGATTTGTTCCTGATATCTTGTCGCTGCAAAGGTGGCTCGAGATTGCTTGGGAGAAGGGTTTTGATCCGCTTGGATCAGCTCAATTCAATCATGCTATTTTTAGTTCTAAAAAATGGATAGGAACTACTGAGTGTGCAGCTCTATTGCGTTCCTTTGGTCTTAGGGCAAGAGTAGTGGATTTTGGTCCTAAGGAATCCCAATCCATTCCAGGTTCTAGCGCTGACAATGCCAGGAATGAAACAAGTGTTCATTTGGTAAAAAAGAAAGATAAAGGGGGCAGGGGTTATCAAGTTCTCATGGATTTTGTGTGGAATTACTTTTTGGATGAAAACTCAATCCAATTTGGCCAAAAACATGTGATCAGTGAGAAAACGTGAGTGAGGGCGCATTTTAGATACAATTTTTAAACCACACAAATAATTTTGTTTCGTAAATGTTTTTGATTTTGGAATGCTTTCTTGGATAGGCCTTTATACTTCCAACATGACGGTCACTCAAGAACAAT